AGAGAGAGAGAGAGAGGCTAGGAGTGGAACCCAGAGCTTTGCACATGCTGGGCAAGCACTCGAACACCGAGCTACATTTTGTAGTATTTCTGATCTTTTTTCTGAAGTTTTCCATAGTTGAAGTAACACCAGAAACACTAGATCAGTGACTTCCACACTGTCATGACTATCCCTGGCAGAAGGGACTTAAGGAAGGAAGGTTAACTCTGGCACATGGCTCAGAGGATACAGTCCATCATGGAGAGAGAACACAGAGGCCCAAGCAGCTCACCCTGTCGTGGAAGGAACTTGAGGCTGGTCACATCCTGGCAACAGACAGGAAACAAACTGGCACCGCAAATAGATGTGGCCTTCAAGGCCAGCCTAGTCTACTTGGTGAGCTCCAGCAATGAGAGACCCTGTCACAAAAACAAGCCAGGTGTGGTGGCACACGCCTTTAATCCCTGCACTGGGGAGGCAGAGACAGGCTGATCTCTATGAGACTGAGGTCAGCCTGGTCCATGTAGTGACTTCCAGGTGAGTTGGGGCTACAGGGAGTCCCTGTCTCAAAACAAAACACCAAGGTGAACAGTCGCTGATGAATGATAGCTGAGGCTGAATTCTAACCATGGCCAGGGTAGCCTGAGCTAACTGTGGGAAGTGGGAACAGGGTCGGCATCCTGCCTTAGCCCTGCTCAGCACCCCTGGTTTCCTCCCAGGCCCTACCAAGGCAACCCCACCTTTGATCCTGAGTTCATTCGCTCCAAATCCACCGCTGCTGCAGGCCTGTGCTCCTGGTGCATCAATATTGTGCGCTTCTACGAGGTCTACTGTGACGTGGCCCCCAAGAGGCAGGCCCTGGAGGAGGCTAACGCAGAGCTGGCAGAGGCTCAGGAGAAGCTGTCCCGAATCAAAAACAAGATTGCAGTAAGTGCCCAGCCGCAGACCTGCGAGACATCCTGTTTCCCTTCCCTGTCAGTCGGCACCGCTGCTTAAAAACACGATGGCACGGCCCACATTTGTGAAGTATTAAGTGCCCCCAAGAGAGTATGGGCACATGGCGTGCAGGGTCTCTCAGAGAGCACTGAGCCTTCAAGTGACACCATGCTGTACTCAGCCACACAGATGAGCCAGGATCCTCCCGGGAGCTGGGAATACTCCCATTAAATACCAAAGTTCTTTACAACTTGATTTCCCAGGAACTCAATGCCAACTTGAGCAACCTGACCTCAGCATTTGAAAACGCGACAGCTGAAAAAATCAAGTGTCAGCAGGAGGCAGATGCCACGAACAGGGTGATCTCACTGGCTAACAGGTAGCTGACCCCTCACTACGGCCACTTTGTCTCTCAGGCCCCACAAAGGGACAAGCCTTCAGAGGGAGAATTCTGAACAACCCAGGCCTGCCCGGAACGGTGCACAGAGGCACCTGCCCTGGGGCAGTTACACGTCTATTGCTGTTTTGGGGGATAGCATCCAGGACTCTCATGAATACCAACACCCAGACGACTGGTCCCTTAAACACAGTGGTGTGGTTTTAATATTTTTTATTTTAATTTTATGTGTATTAGTGTTTTGCCTTCATGTAAATATCCTACATACATGCAATGCCCACAGAGGCCAGAAGAGGGGATCAGATCCCCTGGAACTGGAGTTATAGACAGTGGTTGTTAGCCACCATGTGGGTGCTGGGAACTAAAACTGGATCACCTTCAAGAACAGCAAGATCGCTTTTTTTTTTTTTTGGTCTTTTTTGAGACAGGGCCTCCCTGTAGCCCCAGCTGGCCTAGAACTCACTATGTAGAACAGCCTGTTCTCCATCTCATAGAGATCTGCCTGCCTCTGCCTTCCAAGTCCTGGGATTAAAGGCGTGCGCCACCACACCCGGCCGCAGCAAGATCTCTTAAGTGGTGAGTTATTTCTCCAGTCCCCTTATTTTTTTATTACACTTTTTTAATTTGGGGGCTCATACCACAGTGAACATATGTAAATCAGAGGACAACTTTCGGGAGTGAGTTCTCTCCTTCCACCTTGTGGGTCCTGGGGACTGAACTCAGATCATCAGGGTTGTGGGCAAGTGCCTTAACCCATTGAGCCATCTCACTGGCCCAGCAGGGCTGTTTTTGCTCAGAACCTTAGCACACACACCTCTAGGCCCCTCTTGAGCTGATATTACGTAACCAGGTGTTACGCTATGTGGTTTAGGCAGCGGACCAAAAGGATGCCCACACGTGTTGAGGACAGGCCCAGTGTTCCTTCCACAGATGTGGAGCCCACAGACAGGGAGAGTTCTGGCTACGCCACCAAGGCACTCTCACTGTGACATGATGTGAACCATTTGCTTCCCAGCTTAGCGGGAATTCTGAGCATGCCCACTGACAGTGTGTCTGAGCTTAGACTCTAGGGCAGTGCTGTTCCCAGGAATCCAATGTGGCCTTTGTCTCCCTTTGAACCCTTCAGCAGCCCAGTGGAAAACACAGAGATGTGGGAGAAACTGATTTTAATTACACACATCTTATCTAGATTATTGTTACATTAGCATGTGATCAGCAGAGTCACCACTGAGTTATCTTACTGCTCCAAGCCCTGGAAAGCAAGCATGGTTTTACTGTTGCTGTTGAGACAGGGTCTCATGTAGCCCGGATTGGTCTCAAACATCCTGTGTGTCAGAGGATGATCTTGAAATTCAGATCCCTCTTCCTCAACTTCCTAAGTGCTGGTATTACAGGCATGCACCACCAGGCCTGCTTTATGTTGTGCTGGGGTTGAACCCGGGGCCTTGTGCATTGTAGGCAAGCACTCTGCCAGCTGAGCTACAACACCAGCTGGTTTTTGGGTCTTTTTAATATTTTATTTATTTTTATTTTTGTGTGTATGAGTGTATTGCCTGCATGTATGTTAAGTGCACCCATGTCGTGCAATGCCCGCAGAGTTCAGAAGAGGGCGTCGGATTCCCCTGGAACTGGAGTTACAGTTGTTAGCCGCCGTGTGGGTGCTGGGAATGGAACCCGGGTCCTCTGTGAGAGCAGCCAGCACTCTTAACCGCTGCGCGACTTCCCAGCCCCTGTTTTGTTTCATTTCTGAGATGGTGTCACTCTGTAGCCCAGGCTGGCCTCAGACGTGCAGTGGTCCACCTGCCTCTGCCTCTGGGATGCTGGGACTACCACCGCACCTGGCCTCAGTCTGTATTTTATACCCAGAATGCACCATGCACAGGCGTTCAGCCACCAGGTGGAGCTCACAGCCTCCCCGGTAGAGAGCAGAGCCCTGGCATTTGAATGCCGGAAGTCCTGGTAAATGTGGGCGGGGTCAGTTCTATGGCTGCCTAGTCTAGTATTTCCACCCTACCTGTGGGTTGGCAGCCCTTGGTCAGTAGTCAGCATGACCTAGGAGCTCTGGGAAGATGCCAGGCCACGTGAGCTGCTGGTACAGACCCACCCCATCTACGTGTCTGAGGGGAGGTGGCCTCATCAGTCAAGAAAATTATAGTGGCCTCTGGGCCGCTGGAGAGCGAGGCTGCTGGGCATGGCACCTGCAGACAGTATGAACCAGGGGCAGTGCTTTCAGACCCACAGGGCACCAGGAAGACCAGGTACCAGTCCTGCAGTTGGTGGCCTGGGAATAGCATGCACAGGCTGGGTCCCCTACAGTCCCGGCTGCCCTCTGCATGCTACAGTGTCCTGTGGCTGCCACACCCCTACCCAGACTCCACTGCCTGCAAGCGTGTCGCTACAGTCCCGGCTGCCCTCTGCATACTACAGTGTCCTGTGGCTACCACACCCCTACCCAGACTCCACTGCCTGCAAGCATGTCGTTGTAATGGAGGGCCATAGACACAGATGCCCTGGGGAGGGAGATGCAGGGTCCCCCAGGTGTCACCAAAAAGCACTGCTCTTGCTTCCCCAAAGCATACCCACTACCAAGCCACTGAGCCAAGCAAGCACCCATGATGTAGTACAGGCTGCAGCTTCCCAGGCCAACCCGCAGCCCATGCAAGTCCATCTGTTGGCTGACAGCAGCTTAGACGGGGAGCACTGGCCTGTCTGGAAACAGACTCTCCTTGCTTACCCGGACACTCCCTGTGTTCCTTGTGCCCTCACAGGCTGGTAGGAGGACTGGCATCAGAAAACGTGCGCTGGGCTGAATCGGTGGAGACCTTCAGGAAACAGGGGGTCACCCTGTGTGGGGACGTCCTGCTCATCTCCGCCTTTGTTTCCTACGTGGGCTACTTCACCAAGAAGTATCGGACTGAGCTGATGGAAAAGTTTTGGATCCCTTACATAAATAAATTAAAGGTAAGAAGTCGTGTTTATGACTGGGGGGAATCTGGGGGTCCCAGCTGGGCAGGCACCAGGTACACGGCACCCTGGCTGAGGCTCAGCCGGCCCCGTCTTGCCGAGACTGACATTGTTTCTGGTGTTTTCTGTTGAGGGTAGCTCACTCCTCAGGTGGCCTGGCCTTCCGGCACCTAACTGCAGAACACAGAGCTGCTCTCAGAGCTGACCTTCGCTGAGCAGCCAGGGACTCGGGAGACGGTTCAGTCAGTAAAGTGCGGACCTGAGTCTGGATCCCCAGCACCCATGTATTAATAAAGAGCTGTCCATGGCAGCATGTGTCTGTGACCCCGGTGCTGGGGAGGGGGAGACAGGAGGATCTCCATGGTCCTCTGGCCAGCCCTAGCCAAATTGGCAAGCTCCAGGTTCAGTAAGAGACTCTGTCTCAGAAATAAGACAAGATCGGTCAGTGGGGTAGAGCCCTTGCTTCCAGGCTTGGCCACCTGAATTTGATCCCCAGAAACCAGCATAACATGATAGAGAGAACCGACTCCTGCCAGCTGGCCTCTGACCTCCACATATGCACCACGGTGCTCAAACCTAAATGTAAACACACACACACACACACACACAGAGACACACAGACATATACACACACTCATACAAAGAGACACAGACACACACACACATAGAGACACACATATACACTCACACACACTTTACACAGCCAAACATACATGCACACAGAAACACACAGAGATACACAGATACAAATACACACACGAAGATACACAGAGACACACAAACACACACAGATACACACACAGACACTGAAACACACAAAGACACATACACATAGAGACACACACAAAGGCACATGCACAAAGACACACACAACATACCATATACACACACAAAAACACATAATAAATGAATAAAATGTAGAAATAAATACACAAAATAAGACAGAGAGTGGTTGAAGAATCTGGCCTCTACACTCATGCACATGATCACATGCACCCATGCACATATCTGCACACACACAAACACAGATATGCACACACAAAGAACAGAAATGATAGAGTGCCTCCCCTGGCAGGTCCCGATCCCCATCACAGAGGGCCTGGATCCCTTGACTCTGCTGACAGACGACACAGATGTGGCCTCCTGGAACAACCAGGGTCTGCCCAGCGACCGCATGTCCACCGAGAATGCCACCATCCTATGCAACACGGAGCGCTGGCCACTGATCGTGGACGCCCAGCTTCAGGGGATCAAATGGATCAAGAACAAATATGGCAGCGATCTGAAGGCCATCCGCCTGGGGCAGAAGAGGTGTGCCTGGCACAGAGCCGGGCTACAGGGGCAGAGGGATGGTGGCTGCCCCAGCTTGTGTGCACACAGGCACCTTGGGCCCTGTGTGTGAGCTGGATGGCCAGGGGCTGGGGACAGGGGGTGGTGCATACATCAGGGGTCCAAAGTGCAGCTGGGGACCGACCAGGTGCTGTGTGTGCACCTGTCTCTAGGACTCCGCATGTGAGTTAGATGGCTAGCAGCCAAGGAAGCAGCAGGGCTGGCTGGTCCTAAGCACAGAATCTTGGTTCCTGCAGGTTTGTTAGGTAACTGGTGGATCTACAAACATAGATGCTGGCCCACAGGTTCTGGGAATAGAACCAGCAGGAAAGAATTAAATCGGGTCCTTCTCCCATCACTGCTCCACAGGACAGACACAGGCTCCCACCTGGTTTTGCGTCCTCTCGGCCACTGGCTGGGAAGCTCCAGGCTGGTCTTTCTTGTCTCATGAGGTTTACATCCTGACCTCTGAGGCACACCCTGGTTTCTTTTGTGCCCGTAGCTACCTTGACATTATCGAACGGGCCATCTCAGAGGGAGACATCTTGCTCATTGAGAACATTGGCGAGACTGTGGACCCCGTGCTGGACCCGTTGCTGGGCAGGAACACGATTAAAAAGGGGAGGTAAAGGCCGGGCGTGGTGGCACATGCCTTTGATCCCAGCACTCAGGAGGCAGAGGCAGGTGGATGTCTGTGAGATTAAGGCCAGCCTGGTCTCCATAGCAAATTCCAGGCCAGCTGGGGCCACAGGGAGACCCTGCTTTAAAAAGACCAATAAAGGGGCTGGAGAGATGGCTCAGCGGTTCAGAGCACTGACTGCTCTTGCAAAGGACCTGGGTTCAATTCCCAACACCTACATGGCGGCTACGAACCGTCCTTAACTCCAGTCCCAGTGGATCCGACAGCCTCTTCTGACCTCCATGGCATTGCACGACACGGGTGCACTCACACACATGCAGGCGATATACGCATACACATAAAATAAAAATAATAAATTATTAAAAAAATAAATAAAACGACCAATAAAATAAAATAAGAGGAGGTTAAGGCGTCATCCCCCTGCCCCCACAACCTCTCCCAGGGCAGCCTCAGCATCTGGGGGCAAAGAGGGTACAGAGGTCTCCCTTTGTAAAATGCTGTGAGGGGTGAAGATTTTGCAAATCTTAAGACTATATTCTTTTTTAAAAAAATTCTTTGATGCCAGGGATGGTGGTGCACACCTTTGACCCCAGCAACTCAGGAGGCAGAGGCAGGCGGAGCTCTGTGGTACACACTGTTGTTCTGAGATTCGCTAGCAGTGCTAAGTATCTAGGCTGCAGCGGCCACATGAACACCCCTGTGCAGAGTGGCCACCCAGAGGAAGGACAGACAGGGCCCCCAATGGCCACCAGCAGACCTCCTCCATAGCCAGAGCTTGTCGGGGAGGGAAGGGTGGACCACCAGGCTGGGTTGCAAGGTGACCCTGTGGATCAGTCTCATCCTCCCCACTATCATCCACCCTTAGGTACATTAAGATTGGTGACAAAGAGGTGGAATACCACCCCAAGTTCCGCCTGATCCTGCACACCAAGTATTTCAACCCCCACTACAAGCCTGAGATGCAAGCACAGTGCACGCTCATCAACTTCCTGGTCACCAGGGATGGGCTTGAGGACCAGCTTCTGGCTGCTGTGGTGGCCAAAGAGCGCCCGGACCTCGAACAGCTGAAGGTAACCACCCCTGACAGCCAGTCACATATCAGTGTCAGAGATGGGCCAGGAGCCCAGGGCCAGGTGGGGGCAAGCAGGTCGATCTAGGCCCTACATGACCACTCTGGGCCCAGGAAGTTGCTGTGGGCCCCTTGTGTCTCGAGGGTCCTTTCTGAAGGTGCATGAGCCCCTCAACAAACAGCAGGTGTCCTTCCTCCTTCTCCAGTGCATGCCTCACCCAGCTCTATTATAAATCAACAGCCACTGCACTTAAGAACAGGGCTTCAGCATCTGCAGATGGCCCTGAAGCTCAAAGCTTGTTCCCCAGGACAGCTCTGTGTCCGGCCAGCTGGGGCTCCATAGCACTTGTCTAGCATGCATGAAATTCTGGGTTCACCCCTCAGCACCAGCTGGCCTGGAACTTGCTATGTAGACCAGGTTGGCCTCACTCTCACAGAGATCTGTCTGCCTCTACTGGAATTAAAGGCATGTGCCACCCCACCCAGCAGAAAAAATGTTTAAGAAAGGGTCTGGGGCTGAGGCGATGGCTCAGTCAGTAAAGTGCTTGCTGTGAAACCTGAGGATCTGAGTTCGAGTCCTAGAACCCAGATAAAAAGCCAGCATGGGCACTAGCGGTGACTCAGAGGTAAGGAGGACTTGCTGTTCTTGCAGAGGACCTGGGCTTGGTTCCCAGCACCCACATGTCAGTTCACAACTGTGCACTTACATACCCACAGGCAAAACACCCATACACATAAAATAAAAGTAAATAAATAAATACATATATAAATAAAAACTAAGCCGGGCATGGTGGCGTATGCCTGTAGTCCCAGCACTTGGGAGGCAGAGGCAGGATGTCTGTGAGATCCTATGTAGGCCAGCCTGGTCTACATAGTGAGTTCCAGGACAGCTGGGGCTACAGGGAGATCCTGCTTCAAAAAGACCAAAAAAAAACCAAAAACCAAAATGGACAGTATCTGAGAAATGACAGCTGAGGTTGACCTCTGACTTCTACAAATGTGCACACATACATGAACATGTGTATACACACACACACACACACACAACCAACCATGTGTCAGCCATTTCCCCAGCTCTGCCTGAGCCACACGCATGGCTCAGAAGAGTCTCACTCTCGGTCTTTACAGAGGGAGGCTTGATGGGCCAAACTGGGGGCCCCACTTCCCCAGGCTCCTTCTGTGCTGGGTGACATTCCCACTTCCCAGCCTTGGCTTACCCTACCCACCTGCTCCTGCAGGCCAGCCTCACCAAATCACAGAATGAGTTCAAGATCCTGCTGAAGGGGCTAGAAGACTCTCTCCTGGCCCGGCTGTCAGCAGCATCAGGGAACTTTCTGGGAGACACTGCCTTGTTGGAAAACCTGGAGACCACCAAACACACGGCCAACGAGATCGAGGAGAAGGTAGGCCCACTCGTCCTCCCAGGGTGTCCAGCACCCTGCTGAGGCACAGGGAAGATCTGACAGTGAGCTGTCATGAGTGCACCCATGGTGTCTGTGCTGGTTAGTTTAACCATCAGCTGGACACAACTTAGAATCATCAGGAAGAGAGTCTTTATTTATTTATTTATTTATTTATTTATTTATTTATTTATTCATTCATTCATTCATTCATTCATTCATTCATTTATTGGTCTTTTTGAGACAGGGTCTCCCTGTAGCCCCAGCTGGCCTGGAACTCTCTTAATGAGGCTGTGTGAGGGGGCCGGCTGAGAGCAAGCAGTTCGCGCAGTCTTGTCCCCGCCACAGTAAAGCACTGTAAACTGGACTTCTAAGCCACATAAACCCCTTCCTCCCCTAAGCTGCCTTTTGTTAGGACGTTTTACCACAGCCACAGAAACGAAGCCGGCACCTCTCTGTCTTAAGAACGAAGGGCTGAGGCTGGGTGGGCGCTCCTGCCGGTTTCCTACAAGCCCCTTTTGTTTTCTCTGAGGTCCAAGAGGCAAAAATCACAGAAGCCAAGATCAACGAGGCAAGAGAGAACTACCGCCCGGCCGCGGCACGGGCATCTCTCCTGTTCTTCATCCTCAGCGACCTCAACAAGATCAACCCCATCTATCAGTTCTCCCTCAAGGTCAGCCATACCAGGATGCCAGGCCAGAGGGCTGGGGTCAACAGGACCCTGGGGGCAGTGTGCCTTGAAGGGGTGAACACAGGCATGGCAGGGAGCCAGGGCACCATGTGGTGTCGCTCCCTCTCCTCGTGGGTCATTGGCCACCGCTCCACGAGGACAAAGGGAGCAGAAGCGATAAGCAGGGTCAGGACGGCCAGTGAGCACTGACAGAAGAAAGCCCTTTGGGGAGGCAGGTTCAGTGATGCAAACAGCTCCAGACTCAGTGAAACAGCTCCGTTTATTCAGTGGGAGAACTGGGGAAAATACAGTGTGGGGGTAGTAGCCAATGCCTCAGCCAATAGGTGCTCATAGTATGCTTTATTTACATGTGGCAGTGGGCTCCTATCGTCCGACTACCAGGCAATGCCTGATTATCATATAGAAAAAACCTGGGGGTAGTTTTTACTCCAGGTAACTATGCCAAAGGTCATGTTCCAAATAAGGTCAGGCATCCGTGCTTGGTGGCACTTTCCAGGTAAGTCAGGAAGAGAGCAGGAGGCCCCCTGCTGAGAAGGGGAATCCTTCCATATGGTGCAGAGCCACTTAGAGCTATCCGGACATGGAGAACTACAACCCTAGCAGCAAGGTTTCCCAACAGCACTAGATGCCAGCATCCCGGGTGCTGGGGGAGTGGGTCCTCCCACCCTGCCCTGCCCTGGAGCCTTGGTGCCTGGTGCCCCGGTGCCCGGCCAGGGGCCGTAGTTGTAGCCTCAGTTTCCAGGCTCAGTCTGGCTACTCCTCAGGCCTTCAGTGTGGTGTTCGAGAAAGCCATCCAGGAGACCACACGTGCCGAAGAGGTGAAGCAACGCGTAATCAACCTGACAGACGAGATCACCTACTCGGTGTACATGTACACGGCACGCGGCCTCTTTGAGCGCGACAAGCTTATCTTCCTGGCTCAGGTCACTTTCCAGGTAACGTGGCCTCTTGCCACTCAGAAAGTGGTCCCTATACCATAGCCTGGGTATCCATGGGGCCTCAGACCCCCACTGGGCCTGCAGAACCCAAACCAGCTTCTAAGGTGATGGTAAAGTCTGGGGTGCCTGGTGCGGGGCATACTCAAGCTGCATTTATTAAACACCAGGGAAGTAGACCAGTGCACACAGAAAGGTCACTGTATGATGTCAGTGCTAAATGCATAATCCTTAGCCCACTGAGGATGTTGAGTGTCCTAAGAAAGAAACAAAGGGGCCAACAAAATGGTTCAGTAGATAAGGGTGCTTGCTGCCAAGTGTAATGACCTGAGTTCAATCCCCAGTTCCCACATGGTGCAAGGAAGACACTCCTGAAAGTTATCCTCTGACCTATACACACACACAAACATACATACTTACTCTCTCTTCCTCCCTCCCTCTCTTTCTCACAAATAGAGACATAAATGAGTAAAGTAATAATAACTGCCAGGCGTGGTGGCACACACCTTTAACCCTAGCACTCGGGAGGCAGAGGCAGGCGGATCTCTGTGAGTTCGAGGCCAGCCTGGTCTACATAGTGAGTTCCAGGACAGCTGGGGCTACAGGGAAACCCTGTCTCAAAAAGACCAAAAAAAAAAAAAAAAAAAAAAAAAAAGAGAGAGAAAGTAATTTAAAGAAATAAATGCAGGGGCTGGAGAGATGACTCAGTCTCACCAAATTGGCAAGCCTGGATCCCAGTGAGACTGTCGAAAAATAAGCTGCATTGTTCCTGAAGGACAACCTCTCAGTTGACATCTGACCTCCACATACATGTGCGCACAGAGGAGCCGGTCCACACACACAGACATGTGAAGAACACACACACACACACTGGCATGTGCACACACACATGCACACAAGGAAAAGTGTGTCTGTTTCAAGGAAAGATATTTACATTCCTGCTCCTACAGTAGCTGAAATACTGGAAAGTTTGTGCCACTGAATTAGTTACACAGCCTGACTCATCTGGGCTTGACAGCATGAGCCTGTATCCCTGGCACTCAGGAGCTTGAGGCAGGGGGATCACTGAGCCCAGGAGCTCATCATCAGCTGGGCAGCATAGCTTAGACCCTGTCTTAGAAAAGAAAAGGGGGCTGGAGAGATGGCTGAGCGGTTAAGAACACTGGTTGTTCTTGAGGAAGATCCGGGTTTGAATCCCAGCACCGTCCATAACTTGAGTTCCCTCTTATGACCTCTGTGGGTGTTGCACAGACAGGTGCACTTACACACATGCAGGTATAACACTCATACACATAAAATAAAAATAGATTTTAAAAAGGAAAAGAAAAAGACAGGTGTGGTGGCGCACGCCTTTAATCCCAGCCCTCAGGAAGGCAGAGGCAGGCAGATGTCTCTGAGTTCAAGGCCAGCCTGTCTACATAGGGAGTTCCAGGCCAGCTGGGGCTACAAGGAGACCCTGTTGCAAAAAGACAAAATAAATAAATAGAAAAGAAAAGGGAGGGAGGGAGGGAGGGAGGGAGGGAGGACCCAGAGTGGCTTTGGTCTCTTTTGCACTGCTGAGACACAATTACCTGGGATTAATTTCTCCCTGTTCTGGAGGCTGGGAAGTCTGAGATGGAGGTTCTGGCATCTGGTGACAGCCTCCCCGGCACCATCCTCTGCATAGAACAAGAGGAAGTAATCCCCCTTATAATGGACCCACTTCCTGGGTGGCAGCACAGTCCCTGTCTCTGCGTCCTGGCCTGTCCCCAGTCCATCCTCCCAGTACTGCCAACTGGGGGACATCCGAACCACTGCTCAGCCCCACAGAACTTCATCTGTGATCCATGTGAGTGCTGCCTGGGCCTCAACACGAACCTGCTTCCAATCCAAGTTCAAATGTGGAGCCCTGGGGCCTAGTCACAAGGTTTTCTGTGTAAGTCCCCAAGCAGGCTGCCAGTTCCTCTCCCATCCAGCACTGGGGATGAGAACTCTGCAGTGACTCCGGTTCCCAGTCGTAAACTGTTCTCATCTGACCCCAGCAGATTTTTTGTTTGGCTGAAGGAGAGAAACTCTGGTGTGTGCAAAGGAGCCTTTTGGTCACTGAGGAGATGGCAGTGACTCTGCCCCAAATCCCATCTCCTGCCATCCAAGACAGGGCATCACACTAACTGCCCAACACAGACCCAGCAAGATGACAGAGACCAGGGACTGGAGGCCCAGGGAGCTGTCATGTACAAGTGACAGGATGGTAGAGAACATGACCTAGCCAGCCTGGGAAGGGGAATAAAAACAGATACCCAGGCCGGGCATGGTGGTGGCACACGCCTTTAATCCCAGAACTCGAAAGGCAGAGGCCAGCCTGGTCTACATAGCAAGTTCCAGGCCAGCTGAGACTTCAGGGAGATCCTGCATCAAAAACAAATTTTAAAAAACCAAACAAATACCCAAACAGGTCCTTGTGCACCAGCATCCACATCCATTTACAGCCACAGTGCCCACCGAAACCAAACACATCCACCAGTAGATGATGAAGAAACATGACCTAGCTATACACCAGCCAAGTATTCCGCTTTGAAAGGGAATGAAGCAGGGCTGGGGACATGGCTCAGCGGTTAAGAGCACCAGCTGCTCTTGCAAAGGACCTGGCTTCAAATCCCAGCACCCACATGGTGGCTAGTAACCATCTATAACTCCAATTCCAGGGGCTCTAGTGCCCTCTTCTGACTTCCTTAGGCATTGCACGACACGGGTGCACTTACATACATGCAAGCACTACACTCAGACACATTAAACAAAAATAAGTTGGGCGTGGTGGCACACACCTTTAACCCAGCACTTGGGAGGCAGAGGCAGGCAGGTCTCTGTGAGTTCAAGGCCAGCCTGGTCTACATAGCAAGTTCCAGGCTAGCTGGGGCTACAGAGAGAGCCTGTGTCAAAAAAAAAGAAAATACAGTCACAGGACATGTGAGTTAAGAACAGTATGTAAGCCAGGCGTGGTGGTGCACACCTTTACTCCCAGCACTCCAGAGGCAGAGGCAGGTAGATTTCTGTGAGTTTGAGGCCACCTGGTCTACACAGGGAGATCAGTCCAACCTGGGCTGCATAGTGAGACCTTGTCTCAAAAACTAAAAAGAACAATAGCAGTACTGCACACCCGCCATCCCAGCATGTGGGAGGTGGAGACGGGAGGATCAGGAGTTCAAGGTCATCCTCAGCTACATAGCGACTTCAAGGGCAGCCTGGGCTCCATGAGACCCTGACTCAAAAAAGTTTTGAGAGATGCTATAACATGGATGAACCTCAAAAATGTGCTAGTGAGGCTGGAGGGCTGGAGGGCTGGGGG